TAAAAATCTGAAAAATGAATTTTTCTCATTTTTACTTTAACGGAAGCTAAAATATTTAAGGTGGTTAAAATATACAATTTTAAAATTAAGAAATAATTTTAAAAAATTCAAAAATCGGGTCATAATTAAATTTCATTAAATAAATAATTAATTAAAAATATTTTATTAATTAAATATATTAATATCACAATACTATACAATTTATGATCACAATTACTAAATATCTAGGTCGCAAATGACAAATTTCATTGGCCACAATTTATTACAGATCACAAATTATCAAATTAATTGATTATGCAATATTTATCTATTACAAATTACAAATTTTATATATCACAATTTATTTTATAGTCATGAATTATCAAATTAATTGATCACAAATTATTCTCAATCCAAATTTTCGAATTAATTGGTCACAACTTTAAAAATTGTAATTCACGACTACAAATTTAATTGCAATCTCATATTTTTTAGCTCATATGTTATTTATTGGTTACAAGTTATTCATTTTACCTATCATATATTATTTATTGATCACAAATTAATCAAATAATTGATTACAAACACCCTTCATCCCACCTTTTACCCCGCCCCCAAAATGGTTAGTCGCAAACACACTTTATTACACCCCTACCCTCTCAATCCCATCCTTAACCTCGACATCGACATTGATCGAACTTCGAGCCACCTCACTATTACCATCACCTCACCACCTATACCAATAACCACTGTCACCTCACCATCAAAGCAATTGTACTATCACCGCATCGCATCACCACCACAACAAAGCTATCTTAAGTGTCATATAATAAAAAAAAGCTATATTTTCTGTTAAATCTGGGAACGCTGCATTGATTAAGTGTAACTCCGAAGTTTCAGCATCATCACACACTATAATTATCTCCTTTGATAAGTCGACGAAGCCATCCTCTACGTAAGGTTTGTTCCATTATCAATTTGGATAAAGTATTTGTGCAAATCGATTGTCATTCTGAGAACGCATGTTTTGATTTAGTTGCAACATTTCTATTTTCTTTCAAAGATACGATCTAACCAAACTTTGGTTAATTGTTTTTTATCTTGTAACTCTTGGGACGATACATAGTACTTGGTAAAAATCTCCTTTGAATACAATCTTTTTCCATCAAATGGCTTTGAATTGTCCAAGATATCTCTTAAAGTTCTATCAATGACTTCTATTGTAATTTTGGTTGATCATTGGTGCTTCATCCTATATTATGAGCCTTGCCATCAAATCAATTCTGTTGTAGTACTTTGCTTTGATATACTACACATTGTTGATTCATCAGTCTGGAGTGGAATATTAAAACTTGAATGTGCAATTCTGCATCCTGTCATTATTGATGCTGTTATACCTGAAGTTGCAAGCGCAAGTGCTATCATCTTCTTAGATAGAACCATTGCTAGTAAAGTACGGTATAAATAGGTTTTACCTGTACTGCCGGCCCATTGACAAAAAATATACATCTATTTTCATTGTTCATTCTTTCAAGTATAACATCAAGAACATATTTTTTATTTGGATTTAGATATGATGTTGCTTGAATACTAACATTTGGAACTTCTACAGAGCATTCATCTAAAATTTCCTTTGCATTGGGTTCATTGTTACCATGGAAGGTATCAATAAGTTGAGGCAAGTCATATGCATTAATAGTCTTCCCAATATATTGGAGGAAAAACTATATATCTTGCAAAGCATATTGCATGTATTATTCTAACGATTCTTTGTATTTCTTCTATAATCTCCAGTCAAGTCTTCAAAATATATGTCTCACAATTTTCTTACCTTAGTCGGTTCTCAGTGGATCAATAGCGTAGTGAAAAGTCTTCAAACTTCGAAGGCTGATAGATAGCTTGGGGTCAAAATTTTGTTCTAGGAACATCAATTAAACTCGCCACAATTAAATAAGATTTGAAAGATGGACTAATAAGAATTAAGATTAATAGATAGCTAGAACCCAAAGTTCAGCATATGCATATTGTACACACAAACTAACATAGACAGGGCTAATAGCAGGGGCGGACTCAGGATTTTTTTCAGGGGGGACGAGACAGAATTACGTAAAAAATAATTTCAAATTAGACAAAGATAATATTCAAAATGTAATATTTTTTTTACAATTGTTCCTTACGGCTTCTCATACTTTGAAAACGTTGTATAATAGTTTCGTTACTAATTTCATTAAATACATCTTTTTCAACAAACACAACTAAACTATTATTCATCAATTGGTCTCCAATCTGATTGCGAAGTCGATTCTTCACAATATTCATAGTAGTAAATAATTTTTCAATTGTAGCAATACCAACCAGAAAAGTTAATCATAAAGTCACAAGCATATAAAGTAACACGATACACTTTATTTCAAGTTATAGATTCAATAGTGACATAACTTGTTCTATTGTTTACTAATTGTAAATCAGTAATCACTACTTTAAAAAGATTATGCATATAAGATTCTCCGATTCAATGCAACGCGCATGCCCATCTAGTGACACTCTACTATACATATAGTGCATCTTCATGGATGCACACACTACAAGGAAAGACTAGATAGTAGAATAAGCAAAATGTTGCTTATTTTTCTTTCTTAACACCATGTCCTATCCTCCCTACCAAACATGTCCTTAGTCCACAATTTTTACCGTCTTCTACTGATTATATTGCCCTTTTTCTCAACCACCGATATTTATTTTCATCATCACATTGATAAAGCCTCAAACATCAACTTAAAATTTTATGAATCATAAGTAAGAGTAAAAAATCCAAAGGTCTTTAAAAACAAATTAAAATTCAGGAACAGGTAACTCTTAAATCAGTCGACAGACCTTGAGAGCAGACTCCTAGCGTAAGGCGATAATGCCATCGTGAAGAGCCTCAATCACCGTTCTGGGCAGCAGCTTCTTGGCTACCCTTCTTCTTTTCAATGACAGCTTTGGTGGCCTCCCTTCGTAAAATTATGGAAATGGCCTTTTGGGAAGCTATTTTTCTGTTTATTTCCTCTTATCTCCCTTGCTTCTCTCTCCTTTTGGGATTGGGTAGTTGGGTCATGGGTGAGCTTTTTTCCAGAAAAAAAATTAAGGCCCAGTTGACTTTTTTTAAGGAAAAAATTAACGACCCAGTGGGGGCAGTTGCCCCCACTAGGCCCTCAATGGGTTCGCCCCTGGCCAATAGACAAGTGCATACATATATATGCAGTCATCCATTTTATAAATGGGTTTAGAGCTCAACTGGTCGCCAAACTTTTAAAACGTGTCACTTTAGTCACTGAATCACTTTTAGTGAATAAATACAAAACTTACAAAGTTATACAATGAAGTCATTGACCATATATCCTTTAGTCAATTTAACAATTTGATAATGTATACGAGGACATCGGCTTGTGTTGCAAATTGAAAATGGCAATGTGCAAAGAATCAAGTAAACTATAGTTAAATTGAAAGTGTCAGAGCATCTCCGAAAAAGTTTTTAAAATATGATACTCTATAATTAAAATAGTAAACCCTTAAAATTATACTCCTCTTTAAGTAAACATTTTAACTTAGAGAGTGAATTTGACTCTTCAAATTTGAAAAGTCAAATCCACTATCTATAATTTAATGCATTTAAAGTATTTCAATTTTCAATAAAGAAAAATAGAGAAAAGTTAGTGGAAAAAAAACAATAAAAATTTTTGGGAGTATTAAAATTAACTATATAGAGCCCGTTGAAATACTTAAAAAAATTACTCTTTGAATTTATAAATGCTCTCTAAATTGTAGAATATGTTATTTAAAAAAAGAGAATCGCTTCGAAATATTCTTAGAATGACAAAAAATATATATAAATTTAAATAATCAAACTTCATTTTCAACAGCGCATTTCAATTAACTTACGAGTATCCACTTATCTACCACTTATTCTATCTATTTATAAATTAAACATAAATTCTTCCCAAACGAATGCTAAAATCACATGTAATGTTGAATTGGTGAGGAATGATCTAGAATGAAGAGAGAACAAAAAACGGGAAACAAATTTCTAATTGATCAGAATGATATTCACACGATTACAAATGAAGTTCAGCCCCTATTTATAGAAAGCACCAACTAACAAAACCGAATGGAAAATGTGAAAAGACATAAATATTCTTCATACTATTTTACATTTCAACACTCCCCCTCAAAGATATAAATACCCTTCACACTATTTACATTTCAACACTCAGTGTAATCCCTAGGTTCAAAGACCGTAGATAAAGCCAAAGTGTAATTCCTGTGAGTGGGAGACATCATATGATAACCCAAATAATCCTTAATGGGATATTGCTTGCTAGACTCAAAACCTTCCTTCATGGAGTCTGATCGAGAAATAGGCACATGAGAAATGAGACTACAATAATAGTCTTTTAAGTATGAAGGAGCACTCTTAGGTCTAGCATATCTGAGGTAAGGAATGATCCGCAGGTGAAGGTGGGGATAAGGAATGACCTGCAGGTGAGTGTGGAGGTAAAGAAATGGAAGAATCTGCAGGAGGAGATTCATGATGTCCAGATGTATTCCTAATAGTGAAAGTAGGAGCATAATGAAATTCATCAATGTGAGGCTGATGATTAATTGGAAACAGATGAAAATGAGTGGAAATAGTAGTGTTTGGTTTAGATAAAGATGAAAGAAATATAGGATGATGGAAAGGAAAAATATTTTCAAAGAATGAGACATCTCTGGATATAAAAAGAACTTTGGTATGAAGATTGAGTAGTTTATAAACTTTCATTCCAAATGGACCGCCAAGAAAAATACAAGGTACAGCTCTAGGATCGAGCTTGGTTCTATTCCTTTTCAGAGTAGAGGCATAGCAGAGGCACCCAAACACCTTGAGATGATTATAAGAAGGTGTAGTCTGGAACATGGATTCATAAGGAGATCTATTTTGAAGCTATTTGGCAGGTGTTCTGTTTATAAGATGAGTGGCTGTGAGGATGCAATCTCCCCATAATTGTTTTGGTAAATTGGCTTGAAATCTGAGGGCTCAAGCTATGTTGAGTAAGTGTTGATGTTTCCTACACCATTTTGTTGTGGTGTTTCAACACAACTAAGTTGATGAATAATACCTTTAGAGAGGTAGAACTCAGGCATTTTGAACTCCAGACCATTATCAGATCTGATAGTCCCTATATTGCAATGAAAGTGGGTTTGAATGAGATAATAGAAGGACTGAATGAGAGTTCTGACTTGAGATTTGTCTCTCATAAGGTAAGTCCAGGTCATTCTACTATAGTCATCAACTATAGTTAAGAAGTATCGTGAGCCATCTAAGGTAGGAATTGAGTAAGGTCCCCAAATGTCACAATATATGATCTCAAACTTGTGTAAGGTTTTTGTTTCATTGTTGGGAAAGGGTAATCCGTGTTGTTTGGCTAAAGGACACACAATACAATGTATCTCCTTGTTGAAATCAATGTTAGTTATAGATTTATGCAAAATGGAAAGTTTGAAGGCAAGTAAACGTCCCAAACGACAATGCCAGAGATTAATGATCATTTTGACATTAGTACCATCGATGTTATTACAAATTGGAACAAATTTATTACAATCAAAAGGGAAACTAGAATTGAAGACAACTTTAGGAATAGCAACAGGCTGTCTGATGTTAAAACTAGCAGAATCAGATTTGAGTTGATGATGAAATGAAGGCCGAACTTTGATCAAAGCTTAGATCGTTGAAAATGGTATAGTCCATGCTCAAGATGGCCCACTCCAATCATCCTCCATGTTGAAAGATCCTGAATAAAACAAGAATCATGGAAAAATATCAGGTAACAATTATGTTCAAGTGTCAATTTGCTAATGGATATCAAATTGAATTTAAAAGATGGCACAACAAGCACATTGCTGAGGCATATAGTGGGAGACAACATCACTTTCCAATGTGATTAACTGCCACATTGTCACCATTAGGCAATCTTATAAAGGCACCAACTATCCCAGTGACAGCAGCCAATTGCTTGACAGAAAACACCACATGTTTTGAGGCGCCAGTGTCTAAAATGTACTTATCTGCAACTGGTGAAAATTTATTCTGATTACCTGAGAAGGTAAACGCATCAGGATCAGTAGGTGAAGATGCATTCATATCCCAAGGATGTTGACTTTGCAACTGAGGCATCAACATGGATAAAATCTTCTGATATTGGTCAGATGTGATAGTAAGCTGTGAAATAGAATTCACAGCTCCTGAAACTTCATTGGTGGATGTTTGACCATGACGAACTTGTCCTACAGCATTAACACCTGGAAGCTTTTTTCTACTAAATCTTTGATTAGGAGGATAACCAATTAGCTTATAGCATTTGCCTTTGACATGTCCAGGTAAACTACAGTAACTGCACACAGGTCTCCCCCTCCTCTGATTAGTGAAATTCAGCCTCTGATTGAATGATCTCCGTACAACCTTGCCTACAAACGTAGCAGCATATTGTGTAGTTTGTTTACCAGCAACAATCTCTTTTTGTCTTTCATCTTGTAAGATAAGAGCAAACGCATTATTTAACGATGGTAAAGGATCCATTAGTAGAATCTGACATCTAATACCAACAAAATGTTCATCCAAACCCATGAGGAATTGCATAATCTGATCTTCACATTTATAGTTAGTATTCTCACCACTCGGCCTTTAATTCTCCAATTCTTCCCATAATCCTTTGAGCCTATTAAAATAGGAATTAACAGAGTTGTTCGACTGAGAAATTGAAGTGATTTGCTTCTTCAACTCATAGATCCGAGGCTATTGCCCTGACTATACCTATCACATAATTCGATCCAGATCTCTCTAGCTGAATCCTTGTGCATTACACTTGGATAAAGCTCTTTAGGTATAGAATTGATTATCCAAGAGGAGACAACATGATTACATCTCCTCCAAGCAGCAAACAAAGGATCATTCAGCGAAGGTTTAACAATAGTTCCATCAACAAAACCTT